TCACCCAAAAGCAATATAACCAGCATGTATATATATATATATATCTTGGATATGACTAATACAGGTTAATTAACTGTATCCGTATTGTTATTATTAATTTGTATGAATTTTATTTTATAATATAAATTAAAATAACATTAATTACAATGTGCAATAAATAAAAATATCAAATAAAATGTATATATTTAACTATAAATTTTAATATATATTTTTCAGTAAAAATAAACATAAAATGATTATTGCAAAATACATATACAAACATAAATTTCTGGATAACATTTAATCAACCATATAGTATTGCGTATAATGCTTGTTATAATTTGAAGCTAGTATAATAAAGTGTTTTCTCTCCCTCCTTAACTAACTTGCACGATGAAATGTAATAACTCTTTAACTTCTTCATTTTTTTTTTTTATAATAATACAAAGTAACACTACGTTTATAAATCTACTTGTTATACAAAATGACCTATATATTTAATAATTAAAAAATCTAAGAATTTCAGGAAACCAAACAACTCTTATTCAATCTTCTCAAAAGAGAACAAAGAACTAGCTGTTATTCACACCACCAGCAAGTAAGCAAGAATTTATGCTATTCTAGTGTTGAAATTGTAGAGAAGAGAAGAAAAATAAATAGGAATTTTGGGTATTGCTTTATGATATCACCCAAGACTCCTCTTTAGATACATAAGTGTAATATTTTGGGTGCAATTGGATTTCTAGAGTTTAATTTAGTTATTGTCCAAGGATTATTACTAATTAAATTAAATGCGTGAATACGTTATATAAAACATTATTGATTCATCATAAAAGTAGTAGATGATGATGAAGCTTGGATGAGAAAAATATTTTGTTGGAAGCCATCTAGAAGATAGGGTAAAAATAGGTCCTCTCCTGTTTTCACGTCTCCGGGAACAAGACAGAACTTGATTCTTGGTTTTCGGTGAAAAAATTAGTAGACACTCGTAATTGTATACATTTTGGGGTTAATACGGTGTCAGCATTTTATAGACATATGTTACAGTTAAAAATATAATATAATGAATGACAATTTACACCATAAATAAATAATTCTATTACATAAGTAAATAACATAATAATTTATGCCTCTGACCCCGTGCCATAAGCTGATGGTGACATGGATCAGCGAAGAAGTATGTGCCAGTGGTATTAGTGATACGGGGCATATCACTTAGTTATACAGGTGTTAAAGTTTGTTATGCAGCTCTTTTGTTCAGTTATGGGTGGGTTTTCATTTTTCTTTTATGTTTCTCGAGTTCTACATCTTAAATAGGAGTTTATAATTGTGCATTATTAGATGATTCATTTTCTATCATCAATAAAATGATTTTACTCTCATTAGATCTCATTTTTTTAAGCTGTGAAAGCTTGTTCGTAGTATCAGGGCGGTAAGTTCCACAAAAAAAAAAATCAAGATTCGTAAGATTTTAGAACTCTTGAGATTGATAGATTCAAAAAGACTGAAGGATAATGGAGATTTGAGGAAATAACATAGTATAACAGCATAACAGCTGCATAACTAAATAATATACACAGTCTCATTAATAGCACTAGCACATACTTCTTCATTAAATAAGAGTTTGTAATTGTGGATCATCAGACGGTTCATTTTTTATTATCAATAAAATAATTTTACTCTCATTAGACCTTATTTTTCTTAACTGTGAAAGCTTGTTCAATCAGATTCTCAACTTATCAAAAAATATGATGAATATTAGCTTGGGAAGAGATTTGGTGAAGATGTCAGCAACTTAATCATTTTTCTAATTATTTATAAAAATTAGTAATTGTTCATACTGAAAGTAAATAATTTCAATTTGTTTCATTCTTGCATGGAAAAATATACCCAAAGCTAAGTACATAAGACCAATATTATCACACCAAATAACATAAGGAATGATAATGATATATGTAGTTCATGAAACAAGGAGTGTAGTGAAAGTTTTTTGGCCGTGACATCAAGTAGATGTCTCCAATCTTTACGACATGGTAATCTTTAGGAAGATATGCATATGGCTCAGTCTCAAGGTTTCTACAGATGTAGAATTCTGATCATCTGTTTGTAAACTCAAGAGGTTGTATATATTGTCTCAAATAAGCAATAGTTAATAGAAACAGTATACTGAATTTTTATGCACATACAATTTCTTATGATTGTGGAGAAAAGGCAAGACTTGTGCAATACTCAGCGGTCAATCAACAAGCAAATAACTAATAGCATTATTGATTCAAATTTGAGATATATATTCCAGTTCTATATATGTTTCTGCCCCATGTTGTCTCCTAGAATAATCCTGCATTGAATACAATAACATGTATGAATACATGACAAGTTATTTTGTTAAATGAGAATAGGTTGTAATATCATATTTATTATTATTTCATTAAATTTATAAATATCAATCGAGTCTAATGTTTATGATGATTCTAGTTTTTTAAAAAATAAAGAAAGTATACACCCATTATATAAAATAATTAATTTAAAAATAATTGCTTGTATATTTTAATTAATTTGATGTCATAATAGCCAGATCTCAGTTATTGAATTTTGGGTAATCCTGATTTAATTTGTATCTAAAGGGACGTGTGTAATTGTATTAATTAAACTTAATTTCCAAACTAAACTTGGGTTAATGACAATTCTTGAGATCCTAGCTATGTATAGTACATTTTGCTGTTTATGCTTAATTTAGTTAGCTTAAGTAAGTTCAGCTTCAAGCTAACTACTGATAAATGATGTTTATATTTATAAATATATATATATGTAATTTTATACCTAGTATGTTTATCCATTTACACATATATATATATAGATAGTAGAAGTGATTAATTTTATTAATTGCTTAATTTTGTATAAATAATTTAATAAATTTATTTTAAATTTTTGTAAAAAAATTTCTAAAATAAATCTTGAAATGTAACAACAATATTTATTAAATCTTCTAATTTGTTTTTTATTCCTGGCGCTCGCATAATATATGAATTCATGGTTTAACACAACAAAAAATTATAACATGTGCTTCAGCTATAAACATGCATGTGCTTGCTTTACTATTTTGGAAATGTTTTATTATAAAAAAAAAAATTATTTTATACGTTTTAATATTTATAAATTTAGCAACTAGTTTTTAATTATAGATATATATATATATATATGTATGTATGTATATATATACATTAGCTTTTGACACATGCTAACTATAGATGCGCTTTTGCCCTTAAAATATCTAAGTAATATCATAATATTAAATATTTTAATCTTGAATTTCTGAAATATATTGCATAAATCATGACAAATTATATTTATTGGATATAATTAATATAGGTTAACTATATCCGTATTGTTATTATTAATTTATATAAATTTTATTTTATAATATAAATTAAAATAACATTGATTACAATGGACAATAAACAAAAATATGATATGCAATGTATAATATAGTAATTATAAAGTTAAATATATATTTTTCTTTAAAAATAAATAAAGATATGAAATAAATTGAATATTATTAATTAAAATAACTTACTCTAATAACTATTACATATGTGATATTAAATAAGATTACAAAATGTATATATTGATTATTTTAATTATGTACTAATTATTAATTAATACACGTAATTAATAGTTTATTTTGGCTGGCAATTTTGGTTATTGCTTTAGCTGACCGTCTTGAATGGCTTCTTATGCTGCTTTCTATCTTCGCCGGCAGTTGCTGGAGCGATTTTATTTCACTCAGATTTATCTTAATTTCAGAAGAACCTGCATTTTGGTATTAACGTGAATTTAAATCAATAAAATCCTACCTATCAACTTTCAGTATCTATACACATACATACACACGTGCCCTTTCTGTCAATAGGGTCATCTCCAAGAAACACCACATTTGCAAATAAGAAAATTTTTCCTTCCACATGCATTAGCTAATACGTAATTGCTTTACATATAGTATTATATAAATGAAATAATTATAAAGATCTCTTTGCAAGAGAGCTCCAGCTCCTATATAAATGCTAGTTTTGGGAGCATAGGACTCACAGCAATCCGAACATTAACCAAATATGGCAATTCAAGTAGGGTATCAATATCTCTTCCTTCTAGCTCTTGCTCTGTCATCAGTGTGTATTAATGGAGCTCGCAATGTACGTTTGTCTGTCGATAACAATAAAGATATCAGTTCTTTTAAAAAATTTTTATGAAGATAATTTAAACCGTCGTAATTTTCTTAAAAATTTTATCTGGGGTACTTCTACATCAGCTTTTCATGTATTTATTATTAATACCGTATAATTTTTAAAATTATTAATTCTGTTATCTATTTTTTTTTCTCGACATTCTTTTAATTTGTTTACCCTTGAACTTGTGCATATCCTTATTTAAAAATTTAAATATATACTTCAGAAATTTTAAGAAGGTAACAATTTTACATAAAATGATTAAAAAAAATGTATCATAAAAATATGTCTGTATATATACCATAAGTTCATGTTTGATTATTTGTATAATATTATATCAATTTTTAATATTTTATATTTAATTTTATTTATTTAGATTGAAGGTGTGAAGCATTTAACATATGGGATAGTTTTAACCACATATATCCAGATACACATTTTCACTTATACATATAGTCCCTCAAGCAAAAATTTATTATAAAATCTTTTTTGTTATATATATTTATGAATAATTATTTGGATATATGTGTTGAAATTTTAGAAAAATCAAGTGATGGAAGTGATGCAGATCAAGCTACCGATTCATACCATCTTTATAAGATACCGCTAATAAAAAAAGAAAAAGGCCAAAACAAGATCTCTTAAATTTGATAGTAGAATTTTTATGATTTTTTATATTATTAATTTTTTATTCTATAATAATAGGTGGATGTTGAGATGATGAAAAACATGAGCGTCAATGGCTATAGATTCTCAATTTCTTGGTCTCGAGTATTGCCGAGTAAGAAGACTATCGCCCTTTCTGATTGCTAGGATGTCCTTTTTTCTCGTTAAGCAAACTATTCCAGTTATTCATAAAAAGACTGTCGCCCTTTCTGATTGCTAGGATGTCCTTTTTTCTCGTTAAGTAAACTATTCTAGTTATTCATACAATTTCTTTTCTAATATAATTTTGTTTGTTTTCAACAATTAACATTACTTTCAGAGGGAAGGAGAAGCGGAGGAATAAATAGAGATGGAATTCAATACTACAAGAACCTTATCAAAGAGCTCTTAAATAACGGTTCTCATTTGATTTTTTTTTTTATGATCAATTATATTTTACTTGTACAATTTAGTAAGAATATTTTTTGTTTGTTCTAATATTACTTACTTTTAATAATATTGTGAATAATTGCAGGTATAGAACCATTCGTAACTATTTTTCACTGGGATGTTCCTCAAACTTTAGAAGATGCGTATGGAGGACTTTTGGATCGTAATTTTGTGTAAGTAATTTCAAGAATAAAAATTTTTGCTTGTTGTGTAGGAAAAAAATAAAGTTTGACATTCTTAATTTGCTATGAAATAACGACCAAAATATTTTGAAATCTTGTACTAATTACTAAATCTTTTATAATATTAGGTCTGATTATCGAGATTTCGCAAATCTTTGTTTTAGAGAATTTGGTGATAAAGTAAAGTACTGGATAACAATTAATCAACCATATAGCCTTGGGTTTAATGCTTATGGAAAAGGTGAACAAGCACCCAGGCGATGTTCTGCTTGGATGCACAAAAATTGCACAGGAGGAGATTCGGGAACCGAACCATATATTATAGCTTACCATGAACTTCTTGCCCATGCAGAAGTTGTTCAATTATATAACAGAGAATATAAGGTTACAATAAATGATTGCAAAGATATATTTTGCAATTATGAAATTTTATATTTACATATTATAAAAAAAAATACTTATTTACTCTAAAATTATATATTTTATTTTTTATTATTTTATTCTTACTTTTTTTTAATTTAATTAATTTTTTTAAATAAAAAATATTAATATTACAGGGAAACTCAAAAAGGCAAGATTGGGATCACTTAATAAGCTAATTCGTATTATCCATTAAAAAACACA